TTTTACACCTCTTGACCTTTGACCTTTGACCCCCAGCTTCGACATCCTAACTTCCCACTCGTTTTCGGAATAACCCCCTACGTCCCGAATATCGTGACCGTACGTCGAGCGGTTAAGATTTGTGCCCAACTGTTGACGGACGCACGGACGGACGGACGGACGGACGCACGGACGGACGGACGATCAAGCGATTCTACAAGCTGCATCTGACTATGTCAGATGAGCTAAAAACTGACGTAGAGCTATCCGCTCCCGCCCACAGGCACTTGGAACGTATAAAAAAGTAAATCACGAAATGTATTTACTACCAAAGTCTTAATGTATCTCTACTCTTTTTTACCTAGTAATAGTAGTATTGCCGATAACTTGCTGTAATTTGTAAATGCCGTTCAAAACTCCATTAATAGTATTATTCTTATTGTTTGTGCACAGTGGCGTGCGTGCATTTGTTGGTTGCAGAAGAGCATTTTAAATATGATTTGAACGGCATTTACAGCAAGTTATCGGCAATAATAGGTGAAAGAGAGTAAAGAAACATTAAAAATTTGGTAGTAAATACATTTCGTGTTTATTTACCTTTTTTATTGAGACGTTCCAAGTGCCTGTGCTCCCGCCACTCGCCGTTGCGAGTGTGCGGCGTCACCAATATACTGATAGTGATGCTGAAGGGGTCGTTGTCGTATCAGGTACTACAGATATGTACTCGAGGTACATATATGTATATACAAAGTTAGCTCTAGTACTATAGCCCGCGTACAGTTGCCACTGGCGCACCGTACCAGCTGCAACTATACGCGGGCTATAGTACTAGTACTACTACTAGAGCTAACACAAAGTGTAACAGACTTGTACTACAGAAGTGTACCCTAACCCTAACCCTAACCCTAGCCCTAACCCTAACCCTAGCCCTAACCCTAACCCTAACCCTAGCCCTAATCCTAACCCTAACCCTAGCCCTAACCCTAACCCTAACCCTAAACATACCTCATAGTCATATAAAAATATAAACATAATACTAAACAACCTAAAACTACCTCGGGTACATATCTGTATAGTACCTGCATGATACGACAACGACCCCATCTGCGATAGTGATAGGCCTATATATAGATTACTGATAATGATATATATGATTTTACTGACTCTGTTCCGAATGCCTGTGCTGTGGTGAGTTGCGGCTAACCTGTGGGTGCCGTAGGCTGTACCCGTGAATTAAGCGCCTGTCTAGCAACTCCCTACTCTCCTACTCTCGCTCTCTTCCTACTCCAGCCGTGAAATTGCACACCTTGCCGACGTCACCTNTAGTGACTAAGCTGGGGGTAGGTGACTGAGTAAGGGGAGGTGGGGTGGAAGGCCTAGTCACTAAGAGCTGGTAGCTGGGTAGGCCTTTCACCCCACCTCCCACTACTCTACCACCTACCTACCAGCTTAGTGACTAGGCCTTCCACCCCACCTCCCACTACTCTGCCACCCACCTACCAGCTTAGTCACTATAGGCCTTCCACCCCCACCTTCCACTACTCTGCCACCTACCTACCAGCTTAGTGACTAGGCCTTCCACCCCACCTCCCACTACTCTGCCACCTACCTACCAGCTTAGTGACTAGGCCAAAACGAGCAGCTTCCAAAGAGCTTTCTGAGTCGTACTCACTCGTTTCGGCGCTGGTGTTAATTCCAGGAATATATCTCCCGCACAATAGTTTACTCGCTCAACGTTACGAGTAACTCGCTAAACTCCGAAATACACATCAGTAGGTTCCTGGATAACTCCCTACACAAACCCTCTACTTCCCCGAGAACTCTAGAACAAGCCTCTAGAAGTCTCTACCTATATCTGTCTAACTGCTCCCCTCTACTGCTTATCTTCTACTACTGCCCTTCTCCTACTCCTCTTCTTCTACTGCCCTTCTCCTACTCCTCTTTTTCTACCCCTCTTCTTCTACTTCTCTTCAGGCGCGCGGTGCCCTCTTATACCCTCGCGGGAACCTGCCCCATGAGTCAGCTCTCGGTAGCCTATTACAGCGGGCGCTACCTAACACGTCCGCTCTGTCACGCACGCCTACCTAACACGTGATCAACCGATCGATCGCTCACTGGCCGAGCCCCGTGATTGGCTGTTCCTGTTTACCAGCGTGTTCGGTATTCGGTGGTTTCGGCGGTTTCGGTGTTCGGTACTTTTTCTCCCGAACGCTATCCCCGAATTTTACTCCCCGAATCGCTATTTCCCCGACTCTCGATTCACCCGCGCCGTCACAATATCAAGAGTCCATAATAAAGACTATTATGGACTCTTGTTACATATGTAACCATACGCCCATCACTCATTTTTCTTGTGACGCAATTTGAAAGCCATAGGCCTACTATCAAGATCCAAATCACTAACACCTTTCAAGAATCTTGGGAATAATTTAATTGTTGTTTAGAAAAGTTTCTTTTATACCAACATAATTCATATTTTCAGTGACATTCTCAAACGAGGAATATAGAAACTATAATCGAAGGCTAATGATATAGGATATAGTGCATTGCTCTAAGATATAAATTCATTTACTTGATCATATAGAATCGTCAATGAATCAACAATAAGATATATCAGATATAGGGCCATAGCTAGCGGGGGGGGGGCAAAGGGACCTGAGAAATATAGATACATATTGATGACCTTCCCAGAACACACCACGCATGCACGTGGCTTTGCCCCCAGGCATAATGGGTCAGCTGAGCTCCCGTCAGTGATATGTAAGAATTCATATGAGTGTCAGTATTTACCTTTATACACCTCCAGTTCCTCGTCATTGCAGTCTAATCCGTATTGCATGGAGATGTGTTGGAGTCGTGACATGGACGGGGTCAGTTTCACACCCCTCACACCCACTGGCATGGCTGCATAAAATACATACTTCTTAATTAGCTCGTAATTTCGCAATGGCAGCTCTTCAGAGCTATATATAATAATATCTTATGCATCGATAAGTGGTTACCTTTACCTTGTGGGGCAGTCGCGGTCTGCATGGCCATGGAATCTTCCACCTGCTTGTCCTGGGCGTTCGCCATATTGCTCTCGATCCAGGTATGCTGAGCTACTGCGCTACGCCCACCCATCGCTATATAATCTTATCAGATGTTATCACACACATCTCAGGGACTAGTAAACATGACCCTATGTGCAACCGGTGTATTTATAGAACCATTCGCAACGCATGCGCACAGCGGTTTCTGCGCGAACATTTCGAAACTATATACACTGTCCCAATATAATATGGATTATATACAATTATATTCCATTCTCAGAGATAAACATTCTCTGACATTTCCAGGACCCAAATGTCTAGGTTCCCTAATTAAGGATGCGATCATAACTTTTTCCTTCCTTCTCAGAGATGCCGGAAGATTGTGCTGAGCTGATGAGATCGGGGAAGAACGAGAGTGGAGAGTACGTGATACAGCCGCGTTTCTCTGACGAGGCGTTTCGTGTGTACTGCGACATGGAAACCGACGGTGGTGGATGGACCGTGAGTATACACACACACACACACACACACACACACACACACACACACACACACACACACACACACACACACACACACACACACACACACACACACACACACACACACACACACACACACACCACACACACCACACACACAACACACACACACACACACACACACACACACACACACACACACACACACACACACACACACACACACACACACACACACACACACACACACACACACACACACACACACACAACACACACACACACACCACACACACACACACACACACACACACACACACACATATATATATTAATATATATTATATATACAGGGCCGTAGCCACTTGTATTGGCGGGTTTCGCTTTTTCAATCGTTGGCAATTTGCTCGGCAGGGGCGTGTACAGGATTTGCTACCAGTTTGGAGGCGGTCTAACCGTAACCACGAAGTTGTGCGCATGCACAGCGAAGGGCGGGGCGGGGGGCCCTCCCCCAGAAATTTTTTAAAATTCACCCCCTCAGATGCGTTTTCTGCTGCGACAAGGTGGGGCCGTCCCGGACTTCCCTGGACCCCCCCCTGTACACGCCCCTGCTCAGGCGCGAAGGCGACCAGGCGAGGAGCCAAGCGACGAGCGGGGGGAGGGTGCGGGAGGGGTGTTCACGTTTACGCTTCCGCCCACGATGGAGATTTTGCAATTATTACACTAAATAGAGAGCGCTCATGAGGTGAAATTCGTTTGCAAATTTAAAAAAAAAAATTTTGGCTTGGCGGCCGGGGGGTTCGTTCGAACCCCCGAACCCCCCCTGGCTACGGGCCTGTATATATATAACTTTCATAATGCTGAGTTAGCAATAGTTGTACACTATTGTTAGCAAGCGAAACTGAATATTTTCAGCAATATGATTGCAGGCAGGTGTCGTTCGTTCGTTGTTTTTATGCCAAGTGTGAATGTTACACGCAGGTCTTTCAGCGAAGGCAAGATGGCTCAGGGGATTTCTACAGAAGCTGGGACTCGTACAAGTTCGGATTCGGAAACATGAACGGAGAACATTGGCTAGGTGCGTGCGTGCATGCATGCGGCCGGGCGTGCGTGCGAGCGTAAGAACGTGCGTGCGTGCATGCGTGCGTGCGTGCGTGCTGTCTCAACCCCACCTGTGCATGTGATCGTGAGAAACGTTTCGCTAGTCATACAAACACGTTTGAATTTAGCGTGAGCGACGTGTGGCAAGCGAAAATTCGATATAGCATCCTCAGAGTTGTCGCTACACTACAAATAAACGGGTTTGAACGCGGCGTTGAATCGAATTCTCCCGACATGCACCCGGGTATATAAAAGTAAAATACGCCGAATTCAATTTAAGTTCGTCGCTGGCGCAAATTCACCGAAGAAGTGTGGCGATCGCGCATGCGTCGTAACGACGTCTCTTTCTCACTCTCATGCAGATAACCACGTATGATCGTATCTCTCTCTCTCACTCTCATGCAGGCAACGACCGACTGAGCGCTCTCACTACCCCCGTACCGATGCAGCTACGAATCGATCTGAGAAGATTCTCGGGCGAGACGCGCTACGCCACGTACGATGTTTTCAGCATCGCTTCAGAGAGGGCGCTATACAAGATGAACGTCGGCATGTACCACGGCACTGCGGGTAAACGCTCGTTCGCGTCTGCGAGAACACTATATACATTGTTTTACCAATATATACATGTTTATATGTTGTTGCATGCATAACAATATATACATTGTTATATGTGACCCGCTCCAGCATAATACGCACTAAGTCGCAAGTCATTGTTTTGAGTAATGAGCACGCACATGCACATGTCAATGCTGAAAATGGCCTACCTGGACAAAAATGAGATGTTTACAAAAATAAGTTCCTAAGTGCATATTTAATCCGGATATATAGGTTCAGATATCTCTAGATTATTATGGTCATTTTTAATTAAAAAGAAAAAAAAATATTTTGAAGGGCTCCTGACCGCTCATCCCCGACTGGGCCGCTAAACCTTTATCTCAAAAGCTGCATATTCCGGAATAAGTCGGTTTCCGATCTTCAAATTCCTGTATAGCCCGGTAGGAGGGAGTAGCTCGGTCAATTCATTAGATATAGCCAAATATTATATATCATTTTAAAGGTAATTAAATGATCTATTCAGGTATGCACATATCTCAATTTGTAGAATTTCCTACTTAATCCTGGTTTTGCTGGAGCGGGTCACATATGTATATGTATATATTTTTGCATGCAGAACAATATAAACATTGTTATATGTATATGTATATATTGTTGCATGAACAACAATATATACATTGTTATATGTATATCTATATATTGTTGCATGCATAACAATATATATACATTGTTATATGTATATGTATATATTGTTCTCCGATTCGCGTGTCATTTAGCAATGAAGCTGCGTCTAACGTCTCGTTACAGCTGCCCGACTAGATTTTTCGGAACCCCAGATGTTATAATGCTTTTTTCAGACGACTCGATGATATCTGCTCATCATGGAAAGAATTTCAGCACTCCGGACCGGGACAACGACACCCACGAGACCGCACATTGCGGTGAAAGATACAAGGGCGGTTGGTGGTACGGGGCCTGCCACCATTCGAACCTGAACGGACTCTACGGAGAGGACAACTCGAAGGGAGTCGTGTGGTACACCTGGCCCGGTCACTCCGAGGCACTCATGAGCACAGAAATGAAAGTGAGACCCGTGCAATACGCCCTCCATTGATCGCGGATGCTTGGCTGACTGCGAACCCGGGGCTCAGTGTCGGAATATGACAGAGTAGTGTGGAGATCTCGGGGGTGTATCACGTACAGGAGTAGCAGACTAGATCGGGACCAATAGACTGAACTCACCGTATAGAGAGAATAACCATATATATTGACTAAAGAGAGGATAAGATATAGATTGCACATAGATATATGTCAACACGCACACCCTTGGGCGCAGCCATATTGGATCATACTGCTGCTGCCGCCTGTCGGGCGAAAACGAGGAATATTCACTTAGGAATAAGTTGCCTGCGATGACGCAATAATCGGTGCCAAGCCACGGGCGGGTCGGGTTGCGACATCGCAGTGAGTCACCACGGTACGGCTAGGCACAGCGATTGCACCACCGGTTGAAATCGGCGGGCTGGCTGAGTATATAAGGCGCACAGAATCGCAGCTAGAGGCAGTTATTTTCAGGTCTAGGTAGGAGGAAGAAGAAGAAGAAGAGGACGAAGACGAAGGAAAGGAGGGAGAGAGAAGCATGCAGTCGAACGGAAAGAGCTAGAGGCAGTTATTTTCAGGTCTAGGGAGGAGAAGGAAAAAGAGGAGGAAGAAGGAGAAGAAGCAGCCGAGAACGAGGAGAAAGAGCTAGAGTGTTTTAGGTACAGGTCCCAGGAAGGAGGAAGAAGCAGAAGAAGAGGACGAGACGAAGGAAAGGAGGGAGAGAGAAGCAGTCGAACGGGAGGAGAAAGCAAGAGAGTTGTTTTCAGGGATAGGTTGTAGGTAGGAAGGCCGAGAAGAGGAGGAAGGAACAGAGAGAGAGGATAAACGCACAGGGTTTTCAGGTAGGTGTAAACCAGAGCCAAACGGGAGAGGGAAATAAAAAACGGGCAAAGAACGGCATTCTGGTAGAGCTGGAGCGACGGCGAGGGAGACACCTGCGAGACTGTGTGGATCCACGCAAGGCGAGGACGAACGTGAGGGAAGAAGACGGAGCTGGCGACGTGTAGAATTAGACGGATTGATAAAAAGGTCCGCTGCATAGACGAATGCAGTGGGAATCATTTGTACCTTCGTAACACGAAATAAAAAGCTATATAGCCGTATCGTTAACTGCCATCTCACCGTTTCTGTTCATCTGTTCACCTGTTATCGGCTACGTGTCATCGCCGTCCCGCCTTAATACACCGGCAGGAGCTAACTCTGGATCCTATTACTGGACGTAACGCGGCCATGATCCCGAGGCGCTAGTCGAGGATTGACACTTTGTGTCTTCCAATCACAGTCCACGCCGCCCCTTTATGATCAAAATTTGTGAGTACAATATCATTCGGACACGGAATCGCCGATCTCAGGAACTAGGGCATTCTGCTAGGCTAGAACGGTTTCATACGATAGAGTTTGGCCCCAAATACGAATATAACACGCTGTTTTGCGCACAGTGCTAAGTATTTTCTTTCATTTTCGCATATCTGTAGGCACGATAAGCCCCGCCTTATTTGTTGATTGGCATGAATGGGGCGTCAACGACGTGAGCTGACTCCTGTACCTACTGCAAGCCCGTTGACTTTTTCGTAAATAATGAAATGCCGGCCGATGCATTTCGCATCAAAGAGAAGAAAATTCTGCATTTTCACTCAAGTCAACGAGCGCGTCATTCAGTAAACATTTGTGTATTCCATAATTTCACTCTTGCTTCTATAGTATGATTTCCACAATTTTGCTCTTTTGCCCATAATAATTGATACGAATCACGCTATGTGATTAAGTTGTTTTCACGGCACAAGCTGTCTGCATAAATGGCTTCGAGTCAGTAGGTCATTCGACAACGCAGCAGGTGTGCGTAACGGTTCTTTGTGCTGGCACTTGCTAGCAGCGCGAGCTACGCCGTAGACGTTTGTGGCAGCTCCAGCCTCGCTGGCTGTTGATGCCGTGTTTAAGTTGTAACCTGTTGTTTGAGTTATTAAACCAGCATTAAACCTATACAATAAATGTTATAGTTCTTACGACGGAGACATAACAATAATGATTTTATTTAATAATAATTTCATAATAATTAATACATTTTTCAGTTCGGACTCGCTATCATAGCGTTATAACCTCCTATATTAAATCCCCTAGGTATGAATATTTGGTGAATTTTTTTATTACTTGGTTGCCTATTAATCACCTCGATCCTTTCTTTGTTTGTGAATTTTATATAACTATTATATTTGTTTTGTTCATATATTAAATTCTAATCTTTTTGATTCAGCTAATCTGGGGGCTAAACCGACCAGCTCTCCGACTGTTACACGTCGTAGGAACAGTAGCCAATGTAGTGTTAAGCGAGAATGGAACTTGTGGCTAATCTCGAGCATGACTGAGCGATTTTTTAATATTATATTATAACCTCTAATTTCTAGAATATCGTCCATATAATCATTGTCATCTTCTAAAACTACAGACCATCCGCTGACCGCCTGTGGAGACGTGCGCCGGGCCTCGAATTTGGCGCACGTCTCCACTGCGGACAGCGCTTCATAACTTGAACATCCCGCGGTGTCGCGTGCGCATATCCCGCGGAACTGCGCGTCTCATCCGCGCGCAGCGCTTAGGATCAACAGCAAAGCTGTGCCACGCAATCTTGTATCATGTCTCTCTGGACACGCGTTGTGAACTAACGTCTGTCGAACCGTAGTCGTCTACCCTAGAGGCACTACAGGTAAAATGGGGGCTCAGCCGGGATCGTTCGCATGAAGGAGTAGCGATAGCAAGCGTGCCAGTGTTACAGACGGATAAGGAGCAAGGATAAAAACATGTCGAGTTTTAAAAGTCGTTAAAAAGGATACGGGAATTTCTGACGCCCACGCAGAATCGATGGAGCGATGTGCAAGGCAAGGAGGCGAATGAGTCATCGCCACAGCTGCGTGGAGGGGAAGGTGTGGACGGGTCCATTCTTTTCAGAAGGGGACAGGGACCGACAACCCTTCACGATGGCGTATCCACCCCGGAGGAGGTTTCTAGGGATAGGAAGAGATCTCATGAGGCCGCCAGTGATTATAGGGAGAAGATAGCAGGATCAGGAAAAGGATAAAAGGATTACAGGAAAGCGGGGAAGAGTATGAACAGGAAAGGGGACAGAGATACCACACACCCCTACCCCACGCTGGAGTAAGCCGGGAAAGCGTACAGAGAGACTGGGGACGTCCGGCCAGACAGTATGGCAGCATGTTGGAAGCAGAGAACGGCAGCAGGAATACTGATTTCGCCCCTGCTGAGGAAAAAGAAATTTTACAGGCACCTGAAAGAGATACGGCTACGGTTAGGGATATGCCGTATACAAGGAGGGAGTCGATGCAGGACCTGCCTTTAGCACAGGAGAGGAGTCCATGGCGCCAGTATACCTGTGAAGAAACGGAAGCACCAAATTTAGCCGGGAGATGGAATCGCCTTAAAGCCTTTCTGATAAAGTTTGAGATGACGGCTAGTTTACAATCAGTGGCCGGAGAGATGGATGGGGAATTCAATTAGGGTTATGCTTGAAGGTGAGGCTCTGGAGGTAGCGATAGAGATGCCACGATCACAGCGTGCTGACTACGACAGGATGGTGCCTGTTGCAACGCAGGTTTCGATCCGTAGAGCGCATCCACGTTTATCGGAGTGAGCTACGCCGTAGGAGCAGAGGTATGGCGAGACGGCGGAGGAATACGGCGCGTCATGCGGCAGCTGTTTTCGCAGGCGTATCCTGGCATGATAGGTCATCAGACAGAGCAGATCTTGATAGATAGGTACCTGGACGGAATAGGAGATGCCGAGACACAACGTTACGCCACTCTGCAGGGACCAAGCACGCTAGACGAGGCAGTAACTCGGGTGGCACAGTTTGAGGCAGTTACAAGGGAGACAGTAAATCGTAGAAAACCGCCACCAGGTGGAGGCACTTATATACGAGCTGCAATGCAACAAGAGGATCCAGTGTCGAGTCTACGGGAAGAGGTGCGAGGCCTGAGACAGGACATGGGTAGGATCCTGAAGGGCATTGAAGGTCAAAGGTCGGGAGAGAGGATGCAGAATGCACCATTCAGCGGAATGGCAAAGCCTCCACTGGATAGGGCAAGAACAGCTGACATCGAATGTTATTTTTGCAGGAGAACAGGACACATGCAGAGAGATTGCCCGCGACGATTGCAAGGCGGCAATGTTTCAGATAATCGCACGCAACGGACGGGAGCGGCCGAGAGGAGACAGCAACCGTTAAACTAGGACGGGCTAGGAGAAGAGTCGGTAGCCTGGCCCATAGTAAGCCGACTGAGGGAGCGATACCACGATCTACTGGTTTCACACTCTCTCAGAAGGGCAAGATAGAAGAAGGCGAGGATACAGGGAAACACGTAGAGATTAAAATAGCGATAAATAGAGACAATAGTTCAGGCAAGGCTGAAGCCACACGGATACCTATCATCTCCGTGGCACCACTGCAGTGTCATCCCACGTGGGTGATACCTGTGAAAGTAGAGGGATGTGAAATGAACTTTCTAATCGACAGTGGAGCAAGTACGACGCTGATACATGAGGATAGGTTCAATGACATCAAAGCACGTACAGGGCTACAGCTGATAACGAAAAAGAGAGATCTGAAGATGGCGAACGGCGAAGCAATGGATAGTCCTGGAGAGACTGTTGTCCGTCTTAGAAATCGCCGATCATACCTACAATAGAAAAACAATGGTCATTGCCACATTTAGAGGATTTAGATGCGGATTTTGGGACTCGACTTTCTCGTCCCGAACAATGCTATCCTGAACATGACTACAGGAATGCTATCACTTGACGGGAAAGAAATTCAAGGATTCTGGACAGGAGGAGAGAATGGTAGACCAGTATACGTGGATGAGACGACGATGCTGAAGCCAGGGAAGAGATATAGAATCCCTGGATGGACTCATGCAGCCGATAAGGTATCCAGAGGGAAGCAGGTAAACTAATGCCTATCCCAGAATTTCAGAAGCTGGAGACACAAGGGATTCGGATGGAGCAGACGGTGTTCCCGAGGGATGTGATGAAGGTACCGTTGTTTATCTCCCACACAG